GCATCGTGTGTTCGGGCACAGAGACGACAATTCAATTGGTGTCATCATCTTGAAACATCGACTTCAGTGTCTTAGACTTGCTCTACGAATGTCGTCCCAGAGAATTCCACTTCGTGAGTTATTTGCCGACTCTGGGACTTTTTGGAAAAAGCGGAGAGGTGATCATTGTATGACATGATGTTGTGGTATGAAAGAAAGCTGCAAAGGGCTGGCTTCTGTCGGTCCTTCACGACTCTGTGGCTGGGGTCCGAGAGATGGTACGACACAGTGGCTGGAGACGTTATCAGATATGGTTCAGAATAGAAACCAGTGGAGATCATGCTGTAACTTTCTTTTACTTTCCTCATAAAAATTGGTTGTAACTTCCTTAACTGAAAGGATTTTTTGTAATTGTACCTTTCTGTTTCCCCCATTATTATTATTATAATACTACCATACACTAATCTGCGGTCGTTACTGTTCTCTTCTTTTCTTCCCTCTTATACGCACCTTACATTCTTTTTCTTTTCCCATTCTCATTGTTATAGTGTGGTGCATATATATCTGGTGCCTCCCTGTACCAATATTTATGTGTTCAAACAAATAAATAAATAAGTGAGTTCGATCATTGTTGTAATAAGTTCATCAAATAATCTTTGGATGTAATAATTGATATTAATTATGTAGATCAGATTTCAACTAATTAGAGCAACAACAACAAAAAACCCTGATAATGACAATTTTTTAATGAAAAAATTCGTTTCGTAATATTAATAATAGTATCTGATTGACATTAGTGAAATGCTTAAATATTTCCTCAAATGTGTAAGATACAATATACTAGGTAACCTTTGTTTATGGGACATAGATACTAAAGCTTTTCTCACAATAGAAAGTATCAATACTCTAAATAAGTTTGCATCGTTGGAAAATTTTTTTCAGTATGTTTATTATTTAACAGAAAATATTATCTTGGAATGTATATTTAATCTTAAGTACCTGAATTAATAAGTATCATTGGGTGGTCACTGAATATTAATTTACTTACTTACTTACTTACGCCTGTTACTCCCAATGGAGCATAGGCCGCCGACCAGCATTCTCCAACCCACTCTGTCCTGGGCCTTCTTTTCTAGTTCCATCCAATTCTTGTTCATTTTTCTCATATCTATCTCCATTTCCCGGCGTAATGTATTCTTTGGTCTTCCTCTCCTCCTTCGACCTTGAGGATTCCATGTGAGGGCTTGTCTTGTGACGCAGTTCGGTGCTTTCCTCAATGTGTGTCCTATCCACTTCCAGCGCTTCTTCCTGATTTCTTCCTCCACTGGGATCTGATTTGTTCTCTCCCACAGTAGGTTGTTGCTAATAGTGTCCGGCCAACGGATCCGAAGTATTTTGCGTAGACAACTGTTAATAAACACCTGTATCTTTTGGACGATGGATTTCGTAGTTTTCCAGGTTTCCGCCCCATACAGTAGAACTGTCTTGACATTTGTATTGAAAATTCTGACTTTGGTGTTGGTTGCCAATTGTTTTGAGTTCCAGATATTCTTCAGTTGTAAATATGCTGCTCTTGCTTTGCCAATCCGTGCCTTCACATCTGCATCAGATCCACCGTGTTCATCGATGATACTGCCCAAATATGTAAAGGTTTTTACATCTTCCAAAGCTTCTCCGTCAAATGTGATTGGATTGGTACATGCTGTGTTGTATCGAAGAATCTTGCTTTTCCCTTTGTGTATATTGAGACCTATTGCTGCTGAGGCTGCAGCTACACTGGTTGTCTTTTCCTGCATTTGTTGTTGCGTATGCGATAGAAGAGCCAGATCATCTGCGAAGTCTAGATCATCCAACTGCATCCTAGCTGTCCACTGTATCCCGTGCTTCCCTTCAGATGGTGATGTCTTCATGATCCAGTCGATCACCAGGAGAAAGAGAAAGGGCGAGAGTAAGCAACCTTGCCTGACACCGGTCTTTACTTCGAACGACTTTGTCAACTGTCCTCCATGCACGATTTTGCAGTTTAATCCATCACAGGAATTCCGTATGATATTGACTATCTTCTGAGGCACGCCGTAGTGTCGAAGAAGCTTCCACAGTGTTGTCCTGTCCACACTGTCAAATGCTTTCTCGTAATTAATGAAGTTGATATAGAGTGATGAATTCCATTCAATTAATTGTTCCACAATGATCCGTAGAGTTGCGATTTGGTCTGTGCACGAACTATCCTTACGGAATCCTGCCTGTTGGTCTCGAAGTTGGGCGTCTACGGAGTCCTTCATCCTGTTTAACAATACCCTTTTGAAGACTTTTCCTGGTATTGAAAGAAGAGTGATTCCCCTGTAGTTGTCACAGTTGCTGAGATCGCCTTTCTTTGGTATTTTGACTAGAAGTCCTTCTTTCCAGTCTTTTGGTACCTGTTCCTCATCCCAGATCTTTCTGAAGAGAGTTTGGAGTATCCTTGCAGTTGCCGCTACGTCTGCTTTCAGTGCCTCTTCTGGAATGCTGTCTAGTCCTGCTGCTGAATATTAATTTACCTAGTAATTAATTCAGAAGCCGATAGATTTTATTCAATTTAACATACTGATAACTATGTAATTAAAATAATCGTTTTTTGTACTTTAGTTATAGATTGGGTATGATAATCTAAGTTCAATAATCAAAATATAAAATTATTTTTCTTACTGCTAAGGACGAATTATCACATGAAGTTTTGAATAACTTATTATCATTTTTATGTAACATATTTGCTCATCTGATGAACATTTACAAATGAATATTGGTGCTTTAAGTTGTTGTAGATTAATCATAGATTTATATCTATTGGATCGTATGCCTCACGAGTTCTTATAATCTCTTGTTAACTGTACTAAGTATGAACGACTACAACCTGAAAGTAACAGTTCTAATTGTTAAAGTAATATTATGTTTGCACCTGGATAATCAAATGAAATAAGCAATAGGCATCCAAATACGAAACAATCCACCATGGTGTACATGCAGATTTACTGATTAAGGTCAGGTAAACGAACATACTCAACTCCTGAATACAGGTTTCAAAGATACAGCAGTAATTCACGTTATTCGGTTTCACAATGTCTATGTCTAACTAGAAGCTAGGTTTCAACACTGAAAACTTAAGTATATAGTTTGAAATATCCTTCCTGATAACTGTAGATTAAAAAATATATGCTCAGTAGTAGCTATTACAGAAATCCAGATGTTTGCTTATCATTAATTGATCATACAGAAGGAAACCGTTTCATTTCTTGACGTTTAAAATGTATGATAAATATATTGCTTACTTACGCCTGTTACTCCTCAATGAAGCATAAACCGCCGATCAGCGTTATCTAACCAACTCTGTCCTGCGACTTCCTTTCCAGTTCTATCCAATTGTCATTCATTTTTCTCATGTCTGTCTCCATTTCTCGACGTAATATGTTCTTTGATATTCCTCTCCTCCCTTGAACTTGAGGGTTCCGAGTGAGGGCTTGCCTCGTGACGCAGTTGGGTGCTTTCCTCAATGTGTGTCCTATCCACTTCCAGCGTTTCTTCCTGGTCTCTTGCTCCGCTAGGATCTGGATTATTCTCTCCCACAGTGGGTTGTTGCTGATAGTGTTTGGCCAACAGATCCGAAGTGTTTTGCGTAGACAGCTATGAATAAACACTTGTATCTTCTGGATGATCGCTTTCGTAGTTCTCCAGGTTTCCGCCACATACAGTAGAACTGTCTTGACATTCGTATTGAAAATTTCGACGTCGGTGTTGTTTGACAGACAGTTGTTTTGACTTCCAGATGTTCTTCAATTATAGATATTCTACTCTTGCTTTGCCAATCCGCTCATTCTTATCTGCATCAGATCCATTGTGTTCATCAATGTTGCTGTCCAGATATGTAAAGGATTTTACATCTTGCAAAGCTTCTCCGTCAAGTGTGATTCGATTGTTGCATGTTGTGTTGTATCGGAGAATCTTGCTCTTCCCTTTGTGTATGTTGAGACCTACTATTGTTGAGGCTGCTGTTACACTGGTTGTTTTCTCCTGTATTTGTTATTTTGTGTGCGATAGAGGAGTTAGATCATCTGCGAAGACTAGATCGTCCAGCTACATTCTAGCTGTCCACTGTATCTCATACTTCCTCTCAGATGTTGACGTCTTCAGCCTATTTACTTAATATGAGATGAAATCAAGTGAGAATTATTTAAGCCAGTAAAGATCGATGGATTTGTCATAACTGAAGAACTCAACGATAAATCCATAAAAACAAGTAAATTAATCGCATTTCACCAGTCAACAGTATGATTAGGATTGTAACAGGTATTTTTTTACTGTAACAGATATTAACAGTATTCTCAGTGTATTATTAATATGATATTAGTAAGATCTGTAGAATTTATCATCATGAAGGAAGAAATCAGGAAGGAACGCTGGAAGTGGATAGAACACACGTTGAGAAAAGCACCCAACTGTATCACAAGACAAGCTCTCATTCGAAACCCTCAAGGCCAAATGAGAAGAGGAAGACTAAGCAACACATTACACTGAGAAGTCGAGACAGACATGAGAAGAATGAAGAACAACTGGATAGAACTAGAAAGGAAATCTCAGGACAGAATAAGTTGGAGAATGCTGATCGGCGGTCTATGCTCCATTCTGGGGTAACAGGCGTAAATAAGTAAATAAGTAGGTAGGTAGGTATATAACCAAGTAAGCAAACAAGTAAGTATCATCATGATATAAATATAATTACTAATAACCACTAGCTTTATAAGAGAATAATTAAGTTAATACTTTTTATTATTTCATATTTAAATAATTGGAATAATGAATTACATGTACATGTATAAGAATAATATAAGTATATATCTTTAAAATAAGTTAAAGACAAGTATATTTTAAAATGTTATTACATAGTATATTTAACATACAAAATACATGGTATACTTAAATTGGTTTACACATATATATATATATATATATATATATATATATATATATATATATATATATACTTTTCTGTAAATCTACAGTTTACTTTTTTGTTTTACGACAATGATTAATTCATTATAAGTCAACTTAAATATTAAAAAAGAAAAAGATAAAAATAAACAATTAAAATTTTTTTTTCATAATTTTTACAAATTAAAATCGAATCTAAAAAAACAAAAGAAAGAAAAAGAAAAGTATTAGAAAGACTAAATTATTGAATGAAAACTAGAAAATTACATTAAGAAGAAATATGTAAGCTATGACATGTAATTCCCATTGTAAATTTTTCATGCTGTAAATTTTTAAGGTTGTTTTTCTTCTTCTCTTTTTTGTTTTCTTTTTGTTGTCGTTGATGATGATGTTCAATGATTTTATTTCCATAATTTTCAGACTGACTTGATAATCATATTTAGTTTTAACTATTATGTGTTGTATTATAAGAATTATAATTGAATCGACTACAAGATAAAGACTAGAAATTGATTTTCATCCATTGAAAAGAACAAAAGACATTTTATTTTCAAATATTATTTTGATTGTATAATTGAATAACTCTTGATAAGTTAATCGAATTATTTTCATTTGAGTAGTTCAGATATTAATATCCTCATCCGTATGTTCACTACAATAATAATAAGAAGAAGAATAGTAAGAATAATTGGTTTTATAAGTACTCATTGAAATCTGTGAAGGTAATTTGAATGTCAACACAATGGAAACTATGAGAAATAACATTAACCAAATGAATGCTAGAAATAGGGGAACACTAAAAATATATTCCATAATAAAATAGCATGTTTTTAAAATACAAATCCGATATTTTTGATTTCAGATACATAATATTTATTTTGGTAAAAAAAAAGAAATATATTTCCATCACAATACTATAATATAATCAAGTAGACCATAATTTCAAGTTCAACCTATTTGTATAGTGTACTAATTTATCAAATTATAATGTTGAATAATATTGTCTCCTTTTGGTTTAGTAAATTTCTAATTATCTCAGTAAACTACTGAATAAATTGCATTTTCTACTAAACAATGATTGCAAAATTTTGAAACTAGCTAAATGATTAATTCATCAGTCTCTTAACAGCATAAATACATCATAATTGATCAGTCTGATGAACTACAGTTCAAAATATCGATTGGAAAATTCAAACAAACAATACAGAAATGAATTAGAATCTCACGCTAGTAGCTATCAAGACTCACTAGTTAGATTGATAACCTGATGGCCTTCGAAGCGAGAGACACTGGGCTCGAGTCCTGTGGTGAACACTAAACCTGGAGTGCAGGTACATACAACTGGAGAGTTCCTAGATTCCACCATCTAATTTTGCTAATAATAGCTGAATGACTATTTTTATATTGTCCCTTGTTATTCAATTGTCTGATTTTATTACTTTATTAAAGATATACATAATCAGTTTTAAGTATAAATCAAACAGAATATATCTACATTGTTGCATTAAGCAGACAAGTGATTCAGAGAGTATTTTATGACAATAAGTGAAATTGATATAATAGATAGTGAGAAGCCTTGATTTCATTCTATCCATAAAATCATTTCTAATCCCTTGTATTACATTAATAAATCTTTGAAAAAAAAAGCCGAAAATTCAGTTAATCGTATAAATTACAGTAAATAGTAGTTTCAAAAACATTTCACTTAAATGGATTAACTGGCCTATTGTAACACCAGAATATTTCCTAATTGTAATGCAAAGGAAATATTAAAATCATGTTGATGGTAAGACAATTAACTATGCGATTTTAAACTTCCATTACTACCTGGATAAATCAAAATATTCCCCTAGAGTTTTTGAACAAAAGAGAAATCTCTTTTCAACAATGCATGTGAAAAGTTTCAAGTATTCTGAGAAATACTGTGAGGATTCGGAATTTTCTGCTTGCATGTTGTCAAACCTTTAACTTTCCCGAATGTAATTCAATGCAAATCATTTATCACTCAGTTTGTGGTGTGGGTTACTTATATCCACACAAGTAGTATACGACGGTGGTCAGGCATAGAATGTATTTCGGTAGAAGGTCGATCAGGAAAGAACAGGAACGAGACGCAGTTGGTGTGAAAATGCATGTACAATGAAATCTGAGACAATGGATTGATGTTTGCAACAGGAACAGTCAAGTTTGATGTGATGGATTGATATTTTGCAAATTAACGATTTAATATATGGTTCTCAGATTTTATTGAAATGCTCTGTAATCATGTGCCCAAATACATTCGATTGTCCCTATTGGTGTTCGTGTTCACTACAGGTTGATCATTTTAACAGATCAGAAGAGCAATTATGGCATCTGAGACAAATTGAAACAGATAATATAAACGTGTAGAAGTTTAAAAAATAAAACATCAACCAAAGTTATGAAAAATTATTTCACAGCTTGTAAAATATATATTTATTTTCAGAAAGGGGTTTTGTGGAGATTGTAGTATTATTATTAATCACCTTGTGCTCCCTAGTGACTGACTTCAGTAGGTATTTCTTGGAGTTCTAGTGAGAAGCAGTGATCAGTGGAGTTCAACCGAGTCTGTTGTGAGATAGTGTTGGGGACGTTAAATCCCCAGAGCTCACTTGGAAAAGGACCTGATTTTGCAAATTTATTTAGAAAATTTGAATTTCCTTTTTTCGCGCCAAAAGCGCTCTTTTCACCTTCATGTCTCATTTCCCACTTGGGAGAATCTTAAGTGCCATTGGTCCGTTGTGTTTTTAGTATGCTATTTTGTAACTCTCCCGAAGGACAGTTTTGTGCTGTATATATACGTTTTGATTTGTGTCTGTCGTTATCGCTCATTTTCTGGCTTTTGAGGAATTTACTTCCCCATTCCAAGCTTGAACTTCTCCCTCTAGTTAGCGGAGCTGAAAAGCATCGAATAGCTAGCTTATTGGTCTTTGGTTACCGAGTCTTTGTTCCGTCCACAAATTAACTTCAAAATCTAGTATGTAGTAACTTACTGAAAACAGTGGTGGACGGCAGCTCAATTTCGTGGATTGATTGAATTTAGTTAGCCGGCTCAATTATCTAGGAGTTAAGCGCTAGCGCACGAGAGCGATAGGTCCTGGGTGCAAACCCTTCTAGCGGGGTCGTGGGTGCGCACTACTGAGAAGAGCCCGAAACTAGGTTTTTCATGATGGTCTAGCTTTAATTAACTCATAAATTCAATTATTAAAATTAGTTTATTACATAAAATAAGTTTGCTTACAACTTTTCAGAAAATTTCCAATTTTTTCTTAAAAATCGATAAATTGGAATAAATTTAGTTCCAACTCTAGTCCATAAATTTAATGAATGATTTAATTTACAATAATCAGTAGATATTACAGTGGAAATATGATTATCTTGTAATATATTCTTTTCAACATTAATAGTTTTACTGGTATTAATTTGTATTGAATTATTTTCATTTTGAAAAGAATTTTCAAATTGTTCTATAAGTTTATTTATATTTTGTTGTTGAGTATAATTACTACTGATATCAGAAGAAGGACAACTGATATCAGAAGGGGGACTACTGATATCATCTATATTTGTATTATTATTATTATTATTATTATTATTATTTAATATATTTAATGGAATCGTTAAATAATATAAAGCTAAAATTTTTAAAATACAATATTTTTCTGATTTATCACATTGATCATTCCACCATTGGATAGGATTCACATTAATATTAATTGGTTTTTCATTTAAATAATCATTAATTGCATATTGAAATTCATCCATATAACTTATTTTACGATGTAATCCCATTTTTTCAACATAATCATCAAGTAATGTTATCTACAATATAATAGAATGATGAAGAAAAACTGATAAGAAAAGTGAAGTTTTCTTAGATTTTTATTATTTTAAAGAAGAAAATTATACATCCAAACCAATCTGAAATAATAACCTATGAAATTTAACGTATATTAGTGATTTTAGATTATTTGAGCTATTTATTAATAAGATAATGTATAATATGATCTTGTATACTTGTTATTAATGATTTATTACGATATACAAAGGTATACTTATCTATTTCGTTAGTAATGTTTATTATTGTTACCACTACATGAATGATAGAATAACCTATTGCAAATCAAGAAGAAATAGATGCTCATATAAATATGAAGATTGTAAAGATCGAATTAGTGATTAAACAGTTAGAACAAATGTAGAATGGACGAACAAATCAGGTATATGATAACAGGTCTCGAAGTTCAGTGCGAAATTCGTTCATCGATCTAGTAAAATAGAGTTTTGACATTATAGCTGATGCCAGTTCGTTATGAAAACCTTTAATATAATTCCTAATTTAACTGTCAACTGTAAATCACAATTGGAAGTCCTCACACAGGTTTATAACCTTGATTTTATCCTATTTATTAGGTAGACACTATCAAGATCAGTCCAGTGTCGCTCAAAAGTCGTCCATAAATTATAGTCTCATCATGTGCAACTTTTATATATGCTGTCAAATTGAAAGGGTTAATGGATGTGTTTTTCTAGAGCATTTTAGGAAAGTAAAAACATTTTAAAAATGAAATAAATGAAACTAATCGTTGGATGGGAACATATGCCTTAGATGTAGGATCTTCTGATAGTCAGGTTATAACATCAAAAATGGTAATTAGAAAAGATTGAACATCATTTAATCGTATGATCGTTCAACTTCTTGACATTAATCAAAGCAACAATATTATTTTGAAAAAGTCAAACGTTTAAGAAATTTATAACTAGAAGGAAATTTGTTTGGATAAATAGAATTACTAATTATAATATCATAATACTATTAAGCAATGTCTAATTTTTAAGTAATCTCACTTTGTGTACACAAGCAGAAACTTACACGTCATTTTTTATATTTTATAGTCACCAGCCTTTCAGTTTGTAAATTCATGTCTTCCTTCTTCCTCGTAACCGACGAATGTCTAATACACTTTAGTGTATCTTGATTTGTACTGTGATTAACTATCCTAATTTCATACAAATGACTCGATGATAAGACGTAATCATAATTATTCCTCTCATTGTTAGCTGACTGTCAACTGGTCTTGGCTTGGTTAAACCATATCTATCTTCCTAACCTAACTATGAAAATTTCTCAGTTCTTGTATATCCTTCCGACTGGTTTCGTCTGGTCTATCAGTAAACTTTGCTAATCTATCATTTTAATCGAATCTGTATTCATTGTATCTATTCTTACTTATATTGGGAATGCTATTGTCTGTTCATTGAAGTTTCCATTAAAATAAATTCTTAATCAAAAGTGTTTAGAAGCTTAAGACATTTAACGGTATTTATTGGATTTAGTTTAACAACTAAGCGTACATATTGTTGCTTTCAAATTTAAACCTCTCACTTCTACACATTCTTTTACACTGATATAAATATAGGTTAATTAAACATCATAGTTTGGACAAGTAACCATATATACTTTGCTATATTGGTACTTTTGGACAATATTATCATTCCTTAAATGTGTGGTTACAAGGTTCACCAAATAAACTTCGTACAATAACATTATTTCATTTTACGCATTAGTGTAATAGTTAGTTATTATTATTTGTATTGTTATTGTTTTCAGTATTAATACTTCCAAATGTAATTAGAAAATGAAACCAACTACCTAATTAAAATATATCTTCATAAACTTTGATTTTTTTTATTAGTACACATTAATGATTATCTTCTTTTCAAAAATAAAAGGTAGATATAAATCAAGTTTGTTTGGAATGTTAAAAAATATTGAATTTAATAATTGAATTCATGAGTCAATTGATGCTAGACAACCATGGAAAACTTGTAAGAATTGGACGGCCGTTTCATCCTAGTATAGGACTCCTCTCATCAGTGCACATCCACGATCCCGCCCCGCGAGATTCAAACCCAGGACCTATAAGTCTCGCACGTGAGTAGTGACTGACTCCAGGGGTTATTTCATGGAGTTCTAGTGAGATGCAATGACCAGTGGAGTTCAATCGGGTCTGTTGTGAGATAGTAACTCACTAATATCAATGATGGATGGTGGCGCAAATTCGTGGATCGATCGAAGTTAGACATCAACACCGTTGAATGCCGACCGGCTCAGTGATCTAAGGGTTAAGCGTTCACGTGCGAGACTGAGAGGTCCTTAGTTCGAATCTCATGAGTCGGGATCTTAGATGCGTACTGCTAAAGATTCCGATACTAAGATGAAACGACTATTTCACTTCAATTGACTGTTAATAAAAACCTCTCTATGATTATAATATTGATTTTATATACAATAAAAATAAAGATAGAAGTGAAACATACTTTTATTTGTAATCTATGTAGAATATGTTCATAATCATTTTGATTAATTGAATTCTTAAAACGTGGATCAAGAAATGTTGAAATATAAAGAAATTCTTCCAATATATTATTCTCATTAAAAATTGTTTTTAAATATGTTATTATAGTAGTATAAAAATGATTTGATAAATTATCATTTATTTTTTCAATATTTATTGAATATAAATTTTTTAATATTGGTAATATCATTGATACAGTAAAATGTGAATAATTGGTTTTACATAGCTTTTCAATCTCTTGCACAATCTATGAAGGTATAGGAAAAAACATCTATTTCAATACATGAATGAATATCTAGTGGTTATATGTACTAATGTTGTTAATATATATATATATATATATATATATATATATATATATATATATATATATATATCATTACTTATAAAGTAAAAAAGTATTTTACATATTTTGAACTTATTTTACAGTATATAATGTTCATCAATGGAGTACTAAAAATGATCATACAAATGATCACATTTCAAGGTCTGTACAGTTTTTAGTAATAGTGATGTAATAGTGATTATGATGAACTATAAGTCTTAGTTATGAACTTTTCAAAATATGTCAAAATACTTTAGCAGTAATATAAACGAAGTATCATTTTTATCATGTGGTGATTAACTGGAAGAAAGTGTTCTGTAGAGAAGATTTATAGTTCAAATGGATGATCTTGGTGGAATTTCGTTCTTTAAGCTGGATGGTCTGGTTGTGGAGCTTTCATCGTTCTTCTGAACAATATCATCAGTACAAACTTCAGGTAGAAGTGAAGTGTTCGAATTTCTCCATATGTGATTCATAGCTTATCTTGTAGACCTCAATGTTGATTGGCTCTTGTTGATCTTAAGGTCGAACCGGAACACTTCACTTCTACCTGAAGTTATTCATAAGAACGATGAAAACTCCACGACCAAACCATCTAGCTCAGAGAACAAAACACCATCGAAAGTGGTCTGTATTTGGAGGTGCGTCATACGAATAAATCGTAGGGACGGTTGAATAAAATAATTCAGTTCATGATTCATGACATTTATTCTATAGAAATTTACGTATTTTAGAATACAAGTGAATATGAATATCTGGATTTCAGTAAATAATTAAAGAGTATTACACTAGAAGTATATTGAGTTCATTTAGCTTGACAAGTGTTCTCAATAAATCAAACTCTAGCTTTTATTGTACATGTTATTAAACCAGATTCAAATGAGATCTAGAAAAATGTTTATAGGTTTAGTTTCCAATCATTGATATTGTAAAAAAGTTATAGAATGATGAAAGTCTCAAATTTGGTCGAAAAAAATAACCAAGGTAGTCCCTTAGACTGATGTAGAAAGTAATTTCAAAAGAACTAATAAATTGTTAGAATGATCATCACTGACTCAAAACTGGATGTTTACTTTACTACAAGTCAAATTGTTTGATAAATTATAGATAAAAATATGGAATACATCATTTAGTATTAAGAGACTTAATTTACGAAATTAAATATATTATCAGAAGTCTATTAATTAAAAATACATTATATTCTCAGAATTTTACAGTTCTGATCAAACAAATATAAATATAAGCTGTTGGTAATAGCAGTGAGCATCCCTATAATCTTTTTGGTGGTATTTGGGAGTCAATTTATTCACTTTCTATGGACATATCGATTTCGTAAACTGATGTCTTGGTTTAGGACTCAGTTATAATTTTAGACTGTGATCGTCAGTTAGTGTTCAAGATTCATATTTGTTCCTATTTAGAACTTATCAACTAGACATACCAGTGTTAATGTTTAAAATGATAAATATTAAATTAGAGGTTTAGCATGAACGTCAACACAGAGATTCAGATACATTTATCTGATGAATACGAATCAAGACAAAATGCCCTTCATAGACTGTATTGCTGAGATGAAAAAATATATTAGTCTTTCAATCTATGGTACTAGTTCATATGTTATAAATTAATTTTAAAGCATGGTTGTTCATCTTAGTGACATATTTGATGAATCATAATTTGTCGGTAATTTTAATCAAGTATTCAATTTTAAAAGCATGTTGTGAACAACCTTTGAGCTTTGGTTCCCGTCACAAATAAATCTTACCTAAATCAACCAAAACAAATATGTTGTTGTTGAGTCCCATTACGAAGAATCCCAATATGAATACTGTGCAAGTCATGAATCTTTCAACTTTTGAAATATTGAAACTCAACTAATTGAATAAGTTGGACAAGTATAATGTAGTAATCTATGACATAGTTTTGTCATACACACTTTAATCTCATTTATCATTTCATCCACCAAAATCCTAACTATTCAAGTTATGCAATGTTTATTCAGTGAACACTCTCAACCTCTTAAAATGCTGAATTCATGAAGCGAACTACTATGCTATATTGAGAATTGATTGGAATTAGAAATGGGACTCAATGGATTCCTATTCAGTAGTTTGAATATATCATGCTTGTCAAAAAAATAGGCGGGGCTTAATTTTGATTCGGTATGCGGTTGTGAATGTCAGTTATTGTAAAAGAGATGTAAAGCAGAATAGGACAGCTTTCCAAAGTTCCCTGCCTTTCAATGGTCTTTTGAATGGTATCTCAAAAGTTATATATTTTTATGTCAATAATATATGAGATCATTTTTAAGCTAGATTATTTTACATTTGAACATACTTCAATCGATTTAAAAATTCGGTTAATCAGGTTCATGTCTACGTCGGTGAAATGAGGTAATCGATCCATGTTAGGAATTATACGAGTGATTAAATTTAAGATATCTGATAAAGATTCATTTATGTTGATTTGATCATTTGATTGACTTTTGAGATTTGATTCTGAAGATAAGTCCTCCATCTGTTGAACATTTTCATCAAGTGTTTGAAGTGATTTCCGGTAGTTTGTTAGAACTTCATTAATTTCTGGTATACATAATGCACGCTATAATAATAATAGTAATAATAATAATAACGGGGAACAGAATAATGAAATATCGATTAACATATTGTATTATTATATAACACTAATTGATAACGAATAAAGATTTGTGCAAACATCTATCACATACTGAATAATTTTTATATGCTTGTCATATTTGCCTGAAAATGTAGTGAATGTAGTTACTTCATTATAGAAATAGATTTCAAACAGATTAAGATAATAGTTGCTTAATTGTAGTTTGTATTTTAAATAAATTTCACTCAACTACTAAAAATAAAAAAGAAATATTTCCAGATAACGGAAGTAAAAAGTAGTGTCATGAAAGAAGAAGAATCGAAGACACTTCAAAAAGGAAATAATCATTTTTCATTTTTATAAAGTTCAAAGTATTTCCAATCAAGTTAATTCAGTCGATAATAATAATTCATTATATCAAGTATTTAGTTCAAAGTACAAAAAAGTTAACGATATTTATGAACACATTAATATAAACGTATCAGTGTAACTAAATAATTCACAGAAGGGTTTTGTGGAGATTGTAGTAATTTAATAATTGGATTCATGAATCAATTGAAGCTTCCAGGTTTTCTATTGTAGTCTAGCTTCAATTGACTCATAAATTTAATTATTAAATCACTACAATCTCCACAAAACCCGTCTCTGATTATAATCATCATATGCATACTAGTGATTGTCCCTAAGTTTTAGTTCCTGGAGTTCTAGTGAGAAGCATTGACCAGTGGAGTTCAATCGGGTCTGTTGTGAGATAGTAACTCACTAATATCAATGATGGATGGTGGCGCAAATTCGTGGATCGATCGAAGTTAGACATCAACACCGTTGAATGCCGACCGGCTCAGTGATCTAAGGGTTAAGCGTTCACGTGCGAAACTGAGAGGTCCTTAGTTCGAATCTCATGAGGCGGGATCGTGGATGTACGCTGATGTGAGAAGTTCCATATTAGAATGAACCGATCGTCCAATGCTTCCAAGTTTTCCATGGTTGTCTAGCATCAATTGACCCATGAATACAATTATTAACTTAAATAAATGTTTAAATCAAATAAAGTTAAGTATAATACGAGTGATGGAGTTTCTGAAGAAGAACCGTTTCAACTTGTAAAACATGTAGCTTCCACTTAAAGCAAGATTTTTGTGTGTGTTTTTGTTTTTGTACGGTAAGTCAAAATGTCCGAGATAGAAGAAAATTTTCAATTACGTGATAATATTCTGAAGATATTACTAAAATCTCAATGTTTATTTTGTAAATAAATTCTGATAGCATGATCATGTCATTACAATATTGTATCAACTCAATAATTGATGAAAAGTTCCATGCCTAATTAGAGATGTAGTTCACTAGTTTTTTTGTTGATCATAGAATAAGTTAAAACTGTCAATTATCAACAATAATATATCTACTTTGATGTCCTGCGTTTACAAAATATGGAAAACATAACTATAAATCTGAGTAATGTTAGTAGATTACAATTACTATTGATTTAATTTGCTGGTAGATCTTCTGGTAAATACATCTCACTGAATGATCCCTCCAATAGATTTTTCTTTTCAAAAAAGAATGGTTGACCGTTCATGATAATTTTTTATTTATATTAATGTGCTTTCAGTGCAAAATCTCCGCCTTCAGCTATTCTAGAGTTATTGCCGGTCCCAAGGCCCCGTAATGGGGGGTAGGCATGGGGTTGACTACCCCGTCCCGTAGAAAACTAACTCGCTAAAAAAATGCTAAACGCTAACTTTCAGTACAAAATTATAATCTTATCTTGTTTTGATATCAGCGCTTTAAAACATGCACATCATAACTCTTAAAGATATATAGTCATATTGAATGAATGATTCTGAATTGAGCATCTCAAACGCAAAAATGTTTATCTGCCAAATATAATACATTTTTTAAGATGTTACTATTAGTCAAGTCTAGAAATTGTCTTGAGAGATGACCTTTTCGACTTTGAAATTTCAATTCCAACGCCCAAGCTTAAATCTAGGTTAAGAAGGACTTAAAATATTTACTAATAAGATTTTAAATATCATAAAAACATGTTAATAAAGTTTCAATATGGAATATACATGGAGCAATCTTTCATTATAATATATCGTGTTAACAATAGTCTACTTAATTCCGTTAGACTGAGAATCCTGTAGACGGCTGAAGCAATTGCTATTCGGATAAAAAAAAATCCAGAGCTTTGTATCCAAAAGAAATATGTTCAGCCTCTCCTTTAACCCTGGCCAACTTCGGGCCAACTAGTTAATAATCAGTTTTATGATATGGTGACGTAATCGGATTAATGTTCACTTATATATTACCTGTACAGCATTCTTCATGTAAACATTGAAATATGGTAATATAAGATAATTGGAAATTGGACAAGATTCTTTGAATGCATTTAAAGTATATTCTAAACAATTGGTTAATATAATAATAGGCCATTCGGATAAAATATAATCATAGTTTGTGTTGAATTGTGAGTAAATCGAATTCCAACAAGGTTTTAATATTTCGTTTAATGTCTGTATTTTATTTATCTAAAATCAGAAAGAAAAACGTGGTTTGTAAAAATGACTTGTGTCTATGCAATTTGCAATTGACTTCTATAGTTTTGTATTGGTAGTGATAGTGATTTGTTTAAATCGAAATTTATACATATAGATTCAACCATCTCCACAACGCTATACTGATAATTATCATGTGCTAAATAATGACTGGCTTCAAGATGAGTTTCTTGGGGTTCTAATGATAAGCCGTGACCAGTGAGGTTCCACTGTGTCCATCGTGAGACAGCCACTCACTGAAGACAATGGTGAACAGTCGCGCAATATCTCAAATTGGTTGAAGTTGAACATTACAATTGCTGGATGCCTTGTCAGTCGTCTAGAAGTTGAGCGTCCGCCCGTGAGACCGAAGGTCTTGTGTTTGAATCCCGCATTCGGGATCATGGATGCGCACTGCTAAGAAACCCCATGCTAGGACGAAACAGCCGTCCAGTGTTTCCATGTTTTCAATGGTTATCTAACATTGATGCATTCATGATATCAATCTAAACTCAACAATCTGTACAACCCTATACAGACATATAAATTAATTAAAGTTGTATAGATTTTACTTAAACTAGTCAATAGTAATTAACATTGTAATCTGTATATTAGGTTCTTCTAGTTAATTAGAGTGACTACTTATATTTCCTTAATCAGGTATTGGTAAATACTGACATTTAACTTTATTTTATTAAACTTGCAACGTGATCACTAATATAAAGTAGCTCAACCTTTCAGTACACTATATTTAATGTATAAAAAGAAAGTTGAAGGTAATCACGTCCAATGCCTTGATCTACACATAATGCCAGTTTGCACCTATCAATAAGATATATCGTTCATCTTGAACTAATCGATGATTTTCCTGATAATCAATCTCATAGCATACAGAATCCTGATTATTATATGTAATAAATTTAGTGGATTAGTTGAAGTTAAACATTAACACCGTTGGATGTCGGTCGGCTCAATGGTCTAATGGTTAAGCGCTCGCGCGTGAGACTGATAAATCCTGGGTTCGATATCTCGCGGAGAAGGGGGGTGGGATCGTAGATGCGCACTGATTAGTGGAGTATCATACCGGGACGAAACGGCCGTACAATGCTCTCAGGTTTTCCATTGTTGTCTAGCTTTAAGTGACTGATGATTTCAACTATTCAAATAAATTTAATATCAATATTCTTACCTCATAAGTACCATAGAAAATATGATTATATTTAGAAATATATTGAGAATTTACAAAGAAATTTAATTCAATATCAACATATTCAAAGAATAAATTATCATTATTAAATTTATTATTATTCTCTGGATTTAATGACCAAAATTTTAATGATATAGTGATTTGTGGTAAAATCAATAAATGATTTTCTATTGTTTGTTGTAATGTAATTAATTTTTTAATTTTATTATCGATGTTAAATTTTAATTGATTATATAAATTATTTAATATTTGATTTTCCATTAATTTTGATGATGGTAAGAAATTATATTGAACATTATAATTCATATCTTTATCGATTTTTTGAAATTTATTCCATAATATTCCAATTAATATCTAAGAAATATGAAATAAAAGAAAATGTTTGCTTTTCTTTCAAATAATTTAAGAATAAAATTTATTACTGAATAATTTGATTAAGTAATATCTTTTAAGTAATTCCTAACATTTAATTTAATGTCAATAGTTGAAATCATGAGTCAATTGAAGCTAGACTACAATGGAAAACTTGGAAGCACTGAACGGCCGTTTCGTCGTAAGACGGCATCTAACGGTATTAACCAATTTATTTAAGTAATTGAACCAGATTAGTTCAGTGGTCTAGTGATTAAGCGCTCGTACGAGAGACTGGTAGATATTGGGTTCGATATCTCGCCGAAGGGTGGGATCGTGGATGCATACTGCTGAGGAGTCTCATACTAGGACGAAAAGGCCGTACAATGCTTTCAGGTTTTCCATGGTGGTCTAGCTTCAAATGACTTATAATTTCAACTATTCAAAGAATAAAATTTGTTTCTTTATTATACAATTATATAAATGGATATTTAAGAAATGTATATGATTATTTACCATCATTTATCATCATAGAAAAGTATATTTGAAAATTTTGATTTTTGATAAATGTATTTATTCAGTATATTAATACTATTTTGAGATATTTTATTGGAACATATTTAGAAACAGAAAAAGCCTTACTATTCAAGAGGTTAAAAAATGATCATATTCACCATCTTGATAGAAAAAGAAACTACTGACAAGTGCAGTTTAGCTTAATTATCGAAAGGAAAGTGCCATGTGTACATCCTCAAAGCATTCAACTCTCTTCATAATTTCTATGCAAAAGTCATACATCATTAGAATGAAATTTTAATTAAAAAAAACTGGACGATGGCTCAATTTCGTGGATTGGATGTAGTCACACATTAACCCCGTTGGATGCCGACTGGATCAGTGGTCTAGAGGTTAAGTGTTCACGCGCGAGATGTGCATTTTCGAAGAGTCTCATACTAGGACGAAACGATCGTCCAATGCTTCCACGTTTTCCAGGTGGTCTAGCCTCAATCGACTCATGAATTCAACTATAAAAATGCATATGAATAATTTATCAAAGTACAGTCTAATCATTACCATTTTATAAGTAAAATAATTTGAAAAAATGAAGTTACTAAATCTCACAGTTTACTTAAATTACTTCCCCTAATCGAATATTATAATAATATTGATTATAAAATTCGGAAATATATCAGGTCACAATTTATTTTTAACTTCCGAAATATTTATTAATCAATTACTAGTGTTATTATTTTATTCTAATAGACAAATTTAATCTTTTTATTTATTTATTTCTTATTTAATAATAAATAATAAAACTTTTTATTTTTACGATTGATAGGAATAACAGATTAATAATAATAATATCAGAATGATTTTGTAAAGATTTAACCATGTATTGTAAAACATGATTAACATATTTAAAAGTATATTTTAAAGAAAATTTTTGTAAAGTTAACCCATGGGTAAACTCAAAAAAGCTCGAAGAAGCCCTGAAAGATCTGAAGATATTCCATCTAATCATTTTTTGGAAGAATATTCAAAAATTTTTACGTATAGCTTTCCTATTGGACAAATGCTAAAAACCCCCTGTATGCGGATTGGATGATTATAATAATGATTACTTTTTAACTAAAAACGATAAATACATGAGAGATTTTTACTATATTTGACGCTATTTGGAATAAGATTCTTTTCACTTGTCTTCTACCTTCTCATTTGCGACATGGAGGGATCTAGCGTTCAAGTGCTCAAGTTGTACGCGGTATATCAAGAATCTAACTTCGACATATAACAATTTTTAACATAATCAACAGATTAGTTTATAAAATAGTCTCTACCATAATTGGTACATTAAATTATAATTTAATGTTTGTAGTAAATGTTGTATTTCTGTGATCTCATTGAAGGTTAACACTACTGATCTAGGCAATATTTGATTTTAACAACAACAACAAAAAAGGAGAAACAAACTTCAAATTTACTTAATGTTCTTAATAAAGCTATGATAACTGTTCAACTTAGTTTGATACTTCATGTTAGTAGAATATAAATGATACTTTTTGAAATGAATCTCCAAACATATTTATTCATGTGCTTTGATAAAAATCTGTTCTAAGTTTTATTTCATCAAGGACAAGGTATATTAGCTGAAGTTAAATTTGTATATCTTCAATAATGTATATACATACATGTTTACTGTATATTATTACTTACAATTCAATCATTTTCATTATTTAAGTTAAAGTTATGCAAATTGGCATAATAATCGAATGCTATTATTAGAAAACGATAATAGTCTACTATACTGGATATATATATATATATATATATATATATATATATATATATATATATATATATATATATATATATAGTTCTCGAGCAACTCATTTCACATTAATCATATATGTCATTTCATTAGTCTTTATCATTAGGAAAGAGATAATGACTATTTGTTATCAATAGGAAAAATTGGAATTGATTAGAAAAACCACAATAAGTTAATGAAATCTAATGTAACCTAATGAAATGAGTGAAACTAAGAGAAAAAAAAGCTTGATTCCTTGTTGTTTTTTTTTCTAGTTTGACATTGATTTACTCGATGAAATTAAATGAAACATTTTTAGCAAAGAATTAGTTTTAGGACATAGTTGAACATGTATATTGTATTAGATTTATTGACTGAAACTAAGCTTGATGAGGATATTTTAAAAGTTTCGACATGTATGATTAAAAAACAAACAATCAGTTACATTATTATATGATGAAAAACATGGTTATGAATGGTTATCATTTCTAGCTTAAGTATAAATTAGATACTATGCATAATTGAGTATATCCTTATGAAATTGTTTGATTTAGTTGTATAATAGGCAAATAAAATTTTTTTCTCTAAATTAGACATTCAACCTGGTTTCCAAATAAGTTTCTTTTTATTTTACGTTATGTTGTATGTGCAAAAGGAAAGAAAAACGTATAGATAATGGATGGTAGATTATTATTTACAATGGTATTATTTATATTCCAAATTATCTTGCAAATATTTACTCTGATCATTATATATTTAATTTGTAGGTTTATTCATGAATTTAACAGTAAAAAATCAGCTCAAGGCAATCTATTATTAAGTGAACTAACTCTGGACAACAAGCTTTTTATTACTTCAGAAGTACATAACATTTTTTTCAAAATATTTCTTAATGATAGAAAGAACTAAGATCATGAGATGATTGAGAAGATTTATAGCTCAGGTGGATGATTTGGGTGGAGTTTTGTTCTTTGAGCTGGATGATTTGGTCATGAAGTTTTCATCGTTCTCCTGAACGACATCAGCAGCACATACTTTAGGTAGAAGTGAAGTGTTCGAATTTCTTCACATATGGTTCACAAATTGTCCTGTACACCTCGATGTTGATTGGTTCCTGTTCATAGAGGTTCTTATTCAACATCGAGGTGTACAAAACAAGTTGTGAACCACATGTGAAGAAATTTGAAGACTTCACTTCTACATGAAGATTATGTTGATGATGTCGTTCAGAAGAACGATAAAAGCCCCACGATCAAATGACTAAGATCGTTGATACTAATTTTGCTCAATGAAACAATTGATGTTGTCTAGTGTATTTTTGACTACTTGTAAGTTTTCATTTATTTCTTTAATAGTATCAAAGATTCATATAAAAGGGTCTAAATTAGTTCTGACATTTTTAACTGTGACAAGGCTTCATAACGCTGTTAAATAATGGTTTTACAGATGAAACTCCCTGAGAATGCATTTCAATAATTAGGAGTTCAGCTATCAAAGTCATAAGAGTTTTTATGCACCTGTTTAATAATAATGTTAATTCATTAAATTCAAAGCGTAATATAATTAATAATGTTGTATGCACTTATGATGGTTTTTGGATATATGAAAATATCTTGAATTATATATCTCTGTTCCAGTTTACATCTTGAGGAATGCTTTAAATTTATGAATAAATAGCTCATTTTTGTATCGTTTGTTTGACATTTCTCACTGATGTTTATGACTACAATTGATCAGTTTTTATGGCATATATGCATCCTGTGCGGATTGCCTTGTAATTGCCTTCAGTCACAAGCATTCTAAGCAAACATGGATGGTGGCTAGCAATGTTTAGTCCTATTTGGGACTAGTCAGTTGAGTATACCTGCATTCTAGAGTTGTTCACTTCAGGACTTGAATCCAGTACTGTTCACTACATACGTCATCACGTTGTCCGTTTAGCTACTGAGTCCAAACAACCACCAGCTTGTGCAATGAGGTGATTCAAGCAGTCGATACGAAAATGAACTGAAGCTTCACCACCAGTGAGAAACTGGAATTAATAGAGTTCAACTACTTTGAGTTCAAATCATTTACCTACAGAAAGCAATCAAGAAGAATCAAACAAAATCATGAACTGATTGATGTAAAACATCTTCATTAATATACTTTGACTCAGTGGTCTAAGGGTTAGTCATTCTCCAAAGGTTCTTGGTTCGATTCTTATCCGGAGTCGTGAACGTAAACAGCTGAAGAATATCATACTAAGACAAACAATCGCCAAGTAATTCCTGGTTTTTGATGGTTGACTAAGTAAAGTTAGTCTGTAATATAAACTATGGAAAAGAAATAGATGTCAGCTATTGAGTATCCATTATTTATAAAATAAATTTAGAATCAACAGTTGTTTTTTTCTATTTTAGCACTAATTCAAATGATCACATACGAAATGTTTGGTAATTATATTTAATCAAATTGTAAATAAACGTTATTGTTATTTATAATAGTTAATAGAGTTCAGAGATCTTTTTCAACTAGTTCTTTTCACACTACATTCTCTTTCATTGTAAAATTTACAAGAAAATGTATGAAACTATATAACTTCAGATAAGTGTCTAGAACTTCATTATAGCATATTATATTAGTGTTTAATATAAAAACTGAAATAAACAGTTATCATAGGGATAGACCATTGGATTGCTTAATAATAATAATAATAATAATAATAATAATAATTATTATTATTATTATTATTATTATTATTATTATTAACTGAAGAAAGATTTTAGATTTTAGTATGAAATTAAAACTATTGGTTGAATACGTATATATATTACTGACATACATTCAGTTCCGATAATAACGGGGAACAAATTTTAAGAAGGAAGAATTAGAGATCCTTTTTCATACTTTACTATGATTTATAAACAGGCCTCAAACTTTACACACATTTGTAATAACAGTACTAAATATTACCAACAGAATTTACATAAAAGAATCAATAAATTATAATGAATTAAAATGGATGTATAAATATGAAATAAAAAATTTTTTTAACAAGAAAACAGAATTGATTAATAAAGGTGTAGGTAAAGAAAAGATTTATATTGAACTATTGTCATAATGTTTCAATTTTTCAAAATAGATAAAGATATAGATAGATAATGAAGAGAAAGAAGAAAAACAACGACAATCTACTCTTAATGCTAACATGAAACCTTTATAACTAATTTTATTTTCTTACTTAATAACTCTTCATCAAAATAGACTCATTAAATCATCAAGGTCAAAAGAAAATTTCCATTTATTTCTTATTCACACATAAATAACTGCGCTTAAAAATCTGTAAACAATATATATATATATATATATATATATATATATATATATATATATATATATATATTTACCCTGGACAAGATTCAAGAAAAGAATAATAAGAAGACAGTAATTAATAACAGCCGAATAAGAATAGAGAAAGTCAAGGTACAAGCTGAATGCACAGGGGCGAACAAGAGCATTACAGTTGACAAACAGAAATATGTGGAAGAGCTAGCAATGACAGCAGCAAAAGCTGAAAAAGAATGAAATATCAAGCAACTATATGACACAACAAAGAAACTGGTAGGGAAATATAATAAACTAGAGAGATCAGTCAAAAGCATAAAAGGTAAACCAGTCACTAAGATTGAAGAATAGAGGAACAGATAGGTAGAATGATTTGAGGGACTCTTGAATAGACCAGCTCCATTGAATTAACCGGACAACGAAGCAGTACACACAGGCCTTCCTACAGATATCACTCCACCAACGACCGAAGAAATCAGAATGGCCAGTCATCAGCTAAATGAATGGTGAGAAAGCAGCAAGACCTGACAATATACCAACCGAAGCATTGAGGTCAGACATAGAAGTACCAGCAAATACGCTCCATATTCTATTCAGGAATATTTGGAAGAATAAGTCTCGATAAACTAGAGAGAAGGATACCTCATCAAGATATCAAACAAAGGATAGTGTGAGAATTATAGAGGAATCACACTACTATCGGTACCAGGAAAGCTTTTCAACAGAGTATTTTTGAACCTGATGAAAGATTCAATAGACGTCCAGTTTCCAGATCAACAGGCTGGATTCTACAATGGTCGGTCGTGCACAAACCAAATCGTGACACTACGGATGATCGTTGAACAATCAATTGAATAGAACTCGTCACTGCACATCAACTTCCTTGATTATGAGAAAGCACTTGACAGCGTGTATATGGGAACATTATGGAAACTTCCTCGACATGATAGTGTGAGTAGCTGAGAAGATCGTCAACATTATACAGAGTTCATATGACGGACTACAGTGCAAAGTGTTTGGTGGAGGACAGCTGTCAGATGCATTCCAAGTGAGAACCGGAGTGAAACAATGCTGCTCACTCTCACCCTTTCTCTTTCTTCTGGAGGTTGGCTGGGTTATGAAGACCTCGACATCTGAGGGGAAGCATGGAATACAAGGGACATGTTGGATGCAATTAGAAGATTTGGACTTCGTAGATGATCTGACACTTCTATCCCATACACACGAGCACATGCAGATGGGGAGAACTAATGTAACAGCAGTCTTTGAATCAGTGGGCCTCAACATACACATGGGAAAAAGCAAGATCACAAAATACAACATGAAGGACACCAACGCAATCACACTTGATTGAGAACCTCTCGAAGATATGGAATATTTCACGTACTTAGTAAGTATCATCAGTGAACATGGAGGATTTGATTCAGACCTAAAAACGAGGATTGGAAAGGCAAGAACAGCATTCCTACAGTTGAAGGACATATGGAACTCAAAACAACTGTAGAAAAATATCACAGTCAGAATCTTCAATACGAATGTCAAGATAGTTCTACTGTACTGGAGAACTACCACAACCATTATCAAAAAGGTACAAGTATTTATGGACAATTGTCCATGTGAGATACTCAATGTCCGCTGGCCGGATACCATCAGCAACAGCCTACCGTGAGAGAGAACAAACCAACTTCCAGCTGAAGAGGAAATTAGAAGACTTTGGAAATGGATAGGAAATACATTGTGAAAATCACCAAGCTGCATCACGAGGCAATCCCTAACTTGGAATTCTGAAGGGAAACAGAGAAGAGGAGGGCCAAACAACACATTACGTCGGAAAATATAGCCAGATATGAAAAGGATGAATAACAACTGGAAAGGATTGCTTGGGACAGAGTTGGATGAAAAATGATGGTGGGCGGCTTATGCTCAGCCATGAGGAATAGCAAGTATATGCATTTAAGTAAAATATGTATATATTAATTAAAAGGAAATTCGGAACAAGTGAATGAAATCCCTAATAAGAGCCAGATGTTATCGATTCACTTTAGATCCCATATGCTGAATATTAAAGCATCCTTTTTCTAGTTTTGAGGGTTAAGAGTACCAGTTGATTGACCACTGAATACTGCTCGATTTCTTGTCTGTCTAGTCCTTTAGTGCTGACCGAACTTTGTCGGTCACATTATAATGTGATCACTAATCTGAGTGACTCGACATGGAGTGCAACATGTCGAAGTGTTAGGCAATTGGAGGTGGTCGTTAGGATACCCTGAACTCAGGTTTTGTGCTATTTAATACTCATCAAGACGATGTACCTGTAATCTTGGGAGTACTAGTGGTCCCCATTGAATTTAATCCGGAGTAATCGATCTATGTAATCTGAGACATCACCACTCTGCTATTTGGTTATCATTAAGGGACTAAACATATATGACATTAGTCACTACTCAAAGACCAATCAGTTCCAAATGTCTCAGCCCTACGGTAATTCAGTCGTGACCACAACAGCTAGGTGGTAGTAAATCATGAGTTTTGGACAGATGTGTATTCATACAAAAAATACATGTACACAATAACACAAAAATACTGTTAAAATAAAGTTTCATTCTTGTTCTTTACCTTGAATCCTTCTTCCTCCAGTATTCCTGGTGGATGAAAATCACGTATTAAAAAGTAAGCTAGACGATAATGAAATTCCTCGCATGATGGAGAAAAGCAAGACAGTGGATAGTTGTTGACAAAGTAAGGAGTTGAAGAAGGAATTGGTTCATCGGTTTTCTGATTCAGCAGTTGAAATTCTTCTACACCTTGATGCTGGTTAATTGATTCATTATCCAGTGAAATTACTGAAGATGATTTGTTGTACCCAGTATTCTCACTAGTCGGATCAGTATTGATTTCCTAATTTGTTTAGAAAAAGATTATTCTTATTGTTTTGTTTGAAATTATGAACAAAAATCTAAAATAAATCAATTTAATTAACTCTAAAATAGATTTTCAGAATACTGAATTTTCTTGCCCGACAACAATTTAGGTTGCAAAATGAACTACCCAAAACCTATAATAATTCTCATGATACTAAACGACAGAAAACTATATTTAAAATTAGCTTAAGCTTGTACATAACTACAGAAATCAGGCTGAGCAATTTAAAAATATTACTAAACCTTTTGATTATATAGTGGAATTATAAAAGCATACTATTAAAGTGTATTAACATGCATTAAAAAAATTTGTTTTGTGCTTAGAAAGTTCAGAAAATTATTGACGAAACGACCGTCCAGTGCTTCCAGACTTTCAATGATGGTTTAACATTGATCGATTCATAATTTCAATCAAAAATAAATTATTTTAATTTGCAATAGATGATAAATTGAAGTTAATTTATTAATTTATATATTCAATTATTAATTGATAAATATACTATTATATATCGTTAATGTTTGGATCCATATAGTTGATTCTTAATTTCTTCTTAATCTCATATAGCCAAAATATATTGAATTGTTTCTTGGTGTCATGTGAAGATTTCATTATTCTATCCAAGTTACTTGCATCAAATTGAATGATCAAAAAGGATTGTCTACTTCGTCGATAACTTGAAAATTTCAAATAACTTTTAGAAACTGATTTGTAGTAATTTACTTATTTGATAGGCTCTTGATTTACTAATCAAATAAGTTTAAAACAACAATTGAAGATAGTTTTTCGTGATGAGCGGTTAAAATGTACATATTAATAGACTGTTGTGTTACTTTAACATTGATACTCTTAACTATGTGTACTGAAAGTAACCCAGTAAATGAAATTAAGGGCATTTAGGTTTCTGGAGTAAATACCAAAACTGTGAAGACAATTATTTTAAATCTGATATTGTACATATTCAACTTTTGTTAACTGTGATCTACTTTTATCCTCATTCAATTTCATCAGTAAGTTACTATCTCATTCGTAATTTGATTTAATTTATAAGTCACTGAATTTTAATAGAACTTCCAGAGATATACATTTAAGTTGATCATTATCATGTTTAGTTTACTGAAGCATTTTAAAGGAATTTACTTTAATCAAAGTAAATGTATCAAGATATTACCATTGTTTATTGAATTATTATAAAGCAGAATAAAAGTATTTTACATGCACAGATTTTACTAGATTTTCGATAAATCTAATCAATAAAGATGATCTAAATAGTATATTTTAATTTGTAATGGTTTGAATTATCCCATCTGCGATCAATTTTAGCAGAGATATGTACATGCTATGTGTATGACCTCATTATAAAAAAAAAATAGAAAATAATAGAAATAATTTTTAGTATTTATTGAATGTGTAATATATTTGATTTATTTAGTTAGGATAACAACTAATTCATATCTCACTTATATTTTTTATAAAATCTTATATCAGAAAGGGTTTTGTGGAGATTTTAGTAACTTCAACAGTTGAAGTCATGAGTCAACTGAAGCTAGACTACCATGGAAAACCTGGAAGCACTTAACGGCCTTTTCGTCCTAGTGTGGGACTCCTCAGCAGTGCACATCCATGATCCCGCCCCCCGCGAAGTCCTGGGTTTGAGTCTTATTGTGAATATCATGAAGATAGTTGGTTATACGGGCTTCGTTTACTAATTTCATTTTATTAACATATTTGAAAACGCACACGAAAGTAAATGACATTCATTTGTGTCACTTTAGTTATCCGATATTCTCCATCGACTCAAGCTAATAATTACTTGTCACTGCTTCTCACTAGAACTCTAGGAACTACTTCTTAAAGCCAGTCACTGATAGGTCCTGGGTTTGAATTTAACGAGGCGGGGTCGTGACTGCTCACTGCTGAGAAGTCCCATACTGGGATGAAACGGCCGTCTGGTGCTTCCAGGTTTTTCATGGTGGTCTAACTTTAATTGACTCATGATTTCAAAATCTTATATCTTAGTTAGAATCAAATAAAATTCTAATATTCAAAATGTTGATAGATGAAAATTATATTCCAATATGGTAAATTTTATGGTACATAACCCTAATGTAAATCTTTTTTTAAACTAGTTCATACGAAAATAGTCATTAGAAAAAATTCATGAACTTCACGTACTGGCCAATATAATTTTTAAAAAAACTAATATAAAGATATTTTTAATAAAACATATTATTATTAGATCAAGCTAATTAGACGAATTTTCATGACTATATATAACTTAGCTATCAAGACTCAGTAGCTAAGTGGATAACGTGATGGCGTTTGAAGTGAACGGTATTGGGTTCGCGTCCTAGAGTGAACATCAACTCTGAGATGGAGGTACGTCCAGATGACGAGTTCCATATAGGACGAAACGCGAGTCTTGAATTTCACTGATATCCATTATACATGTTTGTTTATAAAACTTGTGACTGAAGGCAATATCAAGGCAATCTGCACAGGATGCACATATACTAATAAAGAACTGATCAATTGCAGTCCTAAATAACAATGGGAAGATACAAGTATACATCAAGCGAATTTATATATAGCTTGATTTACTATTTACTTTTTTCAGCTTCGTCAAATAATAGTTTATCTTCCTATGAGTCTTCTGTACTTTATCCATATACCTTACTTATATACAATCACATGAATATCGAACAATTATTTACTATAAGTTGTAACTTACATATTTAACCAACACATCACTGATAACAATTTCATATGTGATATTCCTTTATTCAGTTGTTTTTTTTAATTGTAATAAACATCGACGTATATTGATTCGATCAAAATCCAATAAATTCATCTAATGCATTGTTGATTTTTACCTACCTATTCATCATAATAATCTATTGTTTGATATGATATAAAATATTTTACCTGTAAAACTCACCATTATACTAAGACTGTAGTGATGTCACCAATGAATTTTTTTTTATTTCTGTTTATAATTTCGAATTATAGACAGTTTACTAAATGACTTGATATGTCAGTTGTTACATTGTAACCATATTATAACAAAAGTTCACTTCATACATTAGTCAGGATATTATTGAAATCATATTTCTTTTCATGAAAGCTTTGACAATAAAGCATTCAAAAACAAACAAAAAATATCAATATTTAGATATTTCTTTCTTTTTCTTTTACTGGGAAGATTTTAACCAGATTATTAAAATTTTAAAATATTTACCGTATACATTCCATCAGAACAGTTTACATCTAAATACTGAAACTTAAAATAATCTTTTTTTCATAGATGTTTGTGTGTCTAATGCATGAATGTATATCAAGCTAACTAATCTGCTTAATTGCATACAATCTGTTTACTGATATAACAACCGAAACCAACAAAAAAAATCTTAAAATATATTACTCTTATTCAAGATATCTCAATAAATATGGTGTGAGTTTTGACCTATATTCAAAAAACAAGGGTGAAATTATTAGATTAATTAACTAGATGAATGAATGAAAGTAGTACACATTACTTAACCGTATGATAACTAACACAATTCTATAACAGAGAAAATGTAATCTTAAATAGAGCATGAAAATAATTTCTTTTTTTCTTTATCAAATTAAATATGAATGACTGGTCATTCAGCTACATTCAGTTACGTTTTAGACACAACTACTTTGATAAATTAATTCGATTGTTCAATACTTCCAAGTTTTTCATGGTAATCTAACTTCAATTGACTCATAATCTCAACTAGTGTAATTCGTATTTGATATATTTCATGTACATTTTTTCCTATATTATTAAATGTTTTATATTAATGAATAGTAACTAATGATTCTACTAGTACAAATAGTTCGGTCATGGCTTAGAAGAACTAACAAATGAATGTGTAACAGTTGGTTGTTGTTGCTGTTGTTTTTTGCAGGTTATCTATATAATTAGTTATCTTGATAGCTTCAACTGACTTATAAACTTGACCATAGAAATTTATTAGTTTATTCATATTAACTAGTTAAATTTATCTGTTGTCTAATCTGAGTTGATTAGTATCAACTAATTCTACCGGGAGTTAGATGAATTTAAAAAAAAAATTTTTGAGTAAGAAAATCATTAATTCTAGGAAAATATCAAATGAAAAGAAAAGTAATACAAACTACTTTCTCAGTTTAGGGGTTGTGGAGATTGTTAAGTTTTTGATTGAGATCATGAACCACTTGATGCAAGATCACCATTGAAAACCCGAAAGCACTGGACTGTCGTTTTGTCCCATTGTGGGACTCCTCAGCAGTGCACATCCACTATCCCGCTCGCAGGACTGGAACCTAGGGTCTTCAGTCTTGCGCGCGAACGCTTAACCTACTGGACCACTGAACCACTACTTTTTTATTAGAATAAGATATGTTAGAGAATAATTTATATTATATTTTCAATGAGATAACCATCTTTTTGCTTTTACTGTAAAATTGACTCATCTAAGATGAAATTGATTAGATGGTACTAAATTTTAAAGCAAATAAAAAAAGTTATGTCTTGAATTTAAAAACGGTTAATGGCTAGTATTTTATACTATACTAATCAAATTATAATTATCACTTGAATATCCTAGAGCCTGTGACAAACTGGATGAAGTGTATAGAAGTTATAAGAGAACGTTAATAATAATATATAGTTGCACTCCTAATTACTAGTAACATTCTTTAATTTAATCAAGTGTTGGAAGATATATAAATTAGAAATGTTTTTTTATCTATTCAATTGTTCAGAAAACATTCTAATAGATCATAAAAATCAAGACATTTATTTTTATACCGTCTCTTTAAAGTTCATGATGATGTTGATCAGAAGAACGATGAACGCTTGACAATTCATCCATCCAACTCAGAGACCGCAACAACTCCAATATAACCACATCTCATCAATATTGCATATACATTCCGTGGACGAGTGTCAACTAATACAAGCTATATGTCCGATGAATCCTATCGGTTATCTACAAATACCTGACTTTGTATTGCTGAACTTTTGATCTGTCAAGTGACAAAAAGAAAAAAACGATAAGAAAACTCAGAAGATAGTTGTTTCCTCCTGGTAGTAATGAATCTATTTAGTGTTTTCACAAACACCGCAATTATTTTCAAGTAATAATTTTTGAACTACAGAAAATGAGATATTTCAGTTATATACAAGAACAATCAAAGAGACTAAACGGTGAAAAAATTTAGGTTTTGGATCCATTGGTATTCATCAAAATGATAGGCCATAAACTTCAAATAAACCCATGTCTTTAAGAATGAGATATACTAGAACTCATGTAATTCAAAAGATAGTCAAGGAATTTATCATTGATTTGTTTAAAGTACTTTCTTCTCTTGAGTTAGGTCATGAATAACTGTATAAGGACACCAAGGTTATTAGATTTCATAGATCGTTAAATCCTATCGATTGTCTAAATCTATCTTATACAAAAAATAATCCGATACTATATGAAGTTAGTAGTCTATATACTGTTGATTAATCAAACTAAATGAGTACTAACGAATATATAGAATATTGTTAGTCAATTTCAGGTGACTAGTTTGTATAATCGGATGTGGGATTAAGTTATGATAACTAGGTCTGTTTAACGTGCATTACTTTGATTAAGTAAATTTATCTTATCCAAGTACATAGTAGCTAGTTATTTTTGTTATGCATTTGACTTTTCTGATATAATTGGCATTCTTTCATTTCCTAAAAGGGACGACTTACTTATCAACATTTATAATAATTCACATGTAGCCCTTTCTATAAATAATTTAAGGTACTTAAGATACCACATAATTGCAATATCCAAATTAATGAAATATTTATAAAATGATGACTATGTTATAAATCTCATAGTAGCTGTTATTAAAGTGAACTTGTGTCAAAGGTACCCGTATTTAAGCTTCCTTTGAATTTGTTCGCTCAGTATACTGAAATCACTATGTTAAATTAAGTTCAACCTATACTATTCCATGAATACTCAAAGAGTCAAACGCTTAAATGGTTCATTGAAATTCTGATTAGTAATGATAACCAATAATTCTTACAAGTAATTTGTCGTCATCATTTACTTAATTGTCTAGCCTCAGAAAAAAAATTGTTGTCCATTTATCATCTTTAAATTTTTAATGATTGTTCGAATAAAATTGTTGTATTATGAAACACTTAGTCAAATGCCTATGTGGTCTAGATGAATATGCATCTAGATTCTTCATACTTCTCTATAGGTAATAAAATCAGTTCATGATTAAAACTATGAAAATTCTATAGTCCCCTTACACTAATGATAATCATCTGCTCACTTGTGACTAATTTTAAGATGCAACTCTTTGAGTTTTATTGTGAAGTTATAACCAATTGGTTTAACCATATCGAATGGGAAACAGATATTCACAGAGGCCAATAGATGGTCAAATAGTAACGTGAGTTAGCTTAAATAAGATATTAACGCGATCGGATGACGGTTTACTGCTTTAGAGATTAAATGTTTGCACGACAGATAGAAAGTCTGACTTCCAATTGCAGGGATGTAGATGCGCACTTTTGAAGAGTGTCATACTATAACAAGATGGTCGTCTAATTCTTCCAGGCTTTTATTGTTAGCCTAATTAAAATCATTTCATGATTTAAACTATGAAAATCTTACAATCTCCCCGAATACCCGTGTGTTCACTTAAGTTATTTAATTTCAATGAATTATATCTTCATATATTATTGAAATAGCATATTTTATGTATATTTTACTTCACAAAGATTATGAGGTATTTAAAATATTTAACTACTTAGTTAAATTGTTATATTTTTATTACATAAATGTAAAATAATTTACATTCTTATCTATCTTGGAAACAAATAGACAGATATTATAAAATAGAATTATGTTTAATTTGTTAAATATCTTATGCCTATTTAATTATCTTAATGGTTTATGGCTAATCACTAACATCTGACAATTTATTCATTTCTTTTTCAAATTTTCACAATGAAATAAATAATTAAATGATGTTGTTTCAAAAGTTGAGCTTCATTTTATATGTAGAAAAGAATTTCATAATACTCTTGGAGTTAAAAATGATTGGATTCATTTTGAATTATAAGCAAATATTGGTGAGACTGTAATTTATGGACGACTTTTGAGTGACCTTGAGAGTGCTTACCTATTCAATAGGGTTAAATGAAGGTTATAAAACAGTTTGAAGAATAAAGATAATGATTTACAGTTGATGGTTTTTATTATGAACTGACATCGGCTAAAATGTCAAAACGCGATTCGGACGAATAAGTGAGTGAATTTCGCGCGAAAATCCAAGACCTATCCTAAATTTGATTGGTTCGTCCATAAATTATAGTCTCACCCAAAAATGTGATAGTTTACATCCTACAACAGTATTCTCTAGTATATATTTCCGTGTGAACGTATCTTAATTGAGTGGCTCAATCAATTACTTATAATTATCAATTTATCATGAAGTGTCAAGTAACTAACTCTCAAGTTAAGTGGAATAGGTTAGAATCCTATTAAATATATAACGACTCAATGTTGTAGATACATCTTATTGACGACTGCTAACTAGTATAAAACCTAAATTCAGGACATACTGTCAATCACCTTCGTCTATATAAAATCGGATAGATGACATACTGATTGCATAATTCCAAAAAAACCACTTGAAAATTTACATTAAAAGAACACAGTTCATAATTTGGCTAAAAAAATTTTATCCACTAACATATTCACTTTTATATACAAAAGACAAAAAAAAGAAAAGAAAATACACAATGATGAAATATGTTCAAATTAATAACAGAATACACTTGCATTATGTATTGTATTTGTACTTGTACAATTTTTTTGAATTTCTACATTTTCATTCTTCATTATTGAATTATTTAATGATTGTTTTGGAGATTTTGATAATGATTCTTTAAGGTTTGTAACTTTTGTAAAAGCTGAATTATAATTCCAGTCTTCATTACTATTACTATTATTATTATCATTACAATTATTATTATTATCTGTACTATTCATTAATATTGGAGAATGATTATTATTATTATTATAAGATTTTAAATATAAAATATTTTCTAATTTTTCTTGTTCAATTTTTTGTTTATATGTAGATAAACTTAGATCAAGTGGTTCATTTGTATCGATTAATAATGGTTGGTAAGTTTTGATCGAGAAATTTGTTATAGGTAATGGATTGATATTTATATTCAATTTATTCAATTGTAATTCATTATTATTATTAATAAAATTTTGTTGTTCTAATGTATCATTTATAGATAAATTTAATGAATTTAAATAATTATTAAATATTGACTGATTAAATATTTCATTATTATTTTTATTGATTAATAATTGTTGATTAATATGTTTATAATATTCATTTATATATAAATTAGTTAATTTTGTTAAATTCAATTGTATATTTGATATAGGATTTATTGAATTAAATAATTCATTAAATAATTCATTAGATAAATTTGATGTTTGTATATTATTATTATTATTATTATTATTATTATTATTATTATTATTATTCTGATGGTTATGATGATGATTGTTTAAATTAGATGAAGATACTATTGGTTGATTGATAATATTATCATTGGAATTTATTAATTCATTATTTATTAATGGTAATGTAGTATTATATAATTGTGTATTATTTAGTGAAGTAAACATATTTGGTATTGACCATAGGAAATTGGATGAATTTGTACACTGAAAAAAAAATTTATTAGAAAAATATGATATTGAGGACTAATTGTAAATGAATACAATAAGAATATTATTTAAATTAAATTTGTTTAATTTTTAATTATGGTCATTTAATGCCTTCAGGTTTTCCATGGTTGTCTAGCTGCAAGTGACTTATGAATTTAATTAATAAATTACTAAAATCTCCACAAAACCCCTCTCTGATTATAATTATCATATGCATAATAGTGACTGTCTCCAAGGGTTACTTTCATGGCGTTCTATTGAGAAGCAATGACCAGTAGAGTTCAACTGGGTCTGTTGTGAGATAATAACTCACCGAAGACAGTGGTGGATGTGTCGCTCAATTTCGTGGATTAGTTAAAGTTAGAGATTAACACAACCGACTCAGTATTCTAGTGGTTAAGCGCTCGCGCGCGAGACTGATAGGTCTTTGGTTTAAATCTCGCCAGGCGGAATCGTGGATGTGCACTGCTGAGGAATCACAATTGATTAATCACTGGGTGGTGATCAATGTCATGTGTGTCAGGTCGTTCTTAGTGCAGATCGAATGCTATCTAACTGTGAAGCTGAGTAACACGGGATCGAAGGAGCACCAGTTCCCTCAAGATTACAGGTACACCTTGCTGACGAGTACCAAGTAGCACGAAACTCAAATCCAGGGTTTCCTGTCGACCACCTTAAACCGCCATCTAATTGCACTGCTACGAATTCCACAATAGGACGAAACGGCCGTTTAGTACTTTCAAGTTTTCCGTGGTGGTTTATCTCTAATTGACTTATGATCTCAACTACAGAAATTAATTAAAGTAGTTTAATATATATTATTCATGAATTTAGAAGATTTGTGTACTCTGTTGAATTTTTAATTTATATCATGAAATGACCATGGTTAGACAATTATTTATTTTTAGTATGGCACTCTTCAGTGATGTGAACCTATGATATAAGCTATAGAACCAAAAAATCTACACAAACTCTCTATACTTATATAATTTTCTTATCAGTAACTAATTTTAGGAGTTGATTCCTGGAGTTTTTAATGCAAGCTATGTACCATGGAATTTGCTTATGTAGAATGCGAGAGATTCGCCAAATTGCTAATTAATTGAATTTAGACACTAGCTAAGTAGTATTAATGTTAGACGCTTGCCGTGTGATTTGAAAACCATTACTTCTGTCCTCGGTTGAGTTATTGTTACACACTCCTAAAAAAAACTTGGACAATGACAAAACATCAGTCCAATGCTTTTTGGTTTACAATGATTGTTTAACTAAGGTTAATTTACCACGTAAATTCTAAAAATGTCATCTATTTTTCTTAAAATATAACAGTTTTCAAAGAGCTCTGATGGTTAGTAAAGATGTCTGGAAAGAGGATACAAAACACTATTTCTTTCAATATTGTACTCATCAGAGTTTCATCTCTATACAGTTAATTCTGAGTTAGATTCTATTCTATTTATCTCACTGAAAAAAGATATATGATGAATAATTTAAACATTTATACAACCGATGCACTGTCTTTTTATAAAAGAAAGATTTCTTCGTCAATTCAGCTTACATCCGATTCCTCTTTAATACATTTCTAACGTTTTTTCAGGTAATAACGGGTTCTAAGTTAACAAAATCTGTAATACAAACTTAATTGTGACATGTATATATATCCTTATCTTTATGCACTATTCACACACATGGGTAATAACATTTCGGCTTATTAAAAATATAATTCATTACTTCACAACATTGGTAGTAATTTAGTAGTAATTATGATACAATAAAAGGAAGAAACAGGTGTGAATAAGCCACAGTTAAGTCTAACATTTTTTAGTACATAATTACTTGTTACAGTAGGAGTCGATTGAAGATAGACTAAAATAATAATTAAATCATTTTATTTGAAATTTATCTTTTAGGATCCTTTCAAGTGTTTATTTGTAATCTACATACCTAATCGAGTGATTCTACACACTACTAAAATCGTTTTAAGGACGATGTTGAAGGATGTGCTGATAATAATTTAATTATGATAGAATACATCCATTTAATGCAGACAATGATAAAGAGCTTCATAAACAATGATCATTTAGTTCTGCATAGTTTAATGCTTTATGGTATATTAAAAAAAAACACAACTAAAACTCGAATCTCGCGAGGCATGATCGTAGATGAGCATTGCTGAGAAGTCCTGTAATTGGATGAAACGGCCATCAAGTGCTTCCGGGTTTTCAATGGTGGTCTAGCTTCACTATCCACAAAATCCCTCTCGGATTAAAACTCATATTCATATCACCGCTTAACATTCTGAGAACTCGCATTGATTATCATTTTAGCATTATGCTGTGCATAATTTTATCTTTCTTGAAGATAAAAATGTCTTTAAACCGAAATCAAAATATGTTTGTGTTGATTACTAGTTTATAGAATATTTATTGAAATGCAATACAACATATTTATTTAAAATTTATCAACTCAAGTCTAAACCGAACCTCACATTATAAATAAATAAAATTGTCCTCTATATGATACGTTCGAACAATTACTTTTAAAATTGAAATACTTGGAAATCAATAAACCAATACCAGATTATAAAGAACATTGTATAAATTAAATTTTTAGTAATTAGTCATAGAATATTACCATGTAAGTATTCAATAATATGTAACACTATAATTACCTTTTCATTACCTAATCTGTATGATGGGCTACAAGTGTTAACCTTAATTTGTGTTTGTAATTGTGTTATTTCTTCGTTTTCTTTGATTACTTCTTTTTCTCCACATTTATTGATACTGGAATTATGAATTTTCATTGAATAGTTATTATTGTTATTAATTTGGTTGAATTTATGATTTACCATTGAATAATCAAAATGTCTATATGAACCAGGTGGACGTCCACGATGTGTACGCCTTGATAATAAAGTTGGATTATTGTGTTCATTTGTGTAGGATAGTGTCATTGGTACTGGTGGTCCAGATGATGATGATTTTAATGATTCTGATGTTGATGTAATCAAATTATTTGACCAGTCAATTAATTTTGTATTATTATTTGTTAAATTATAATTTAATTTAGTCATTTTGTTCATTTCTTTTAATGTCATTAAACCACAACGTGATTTTTTAGATTGCTGATATTCTTGTTGAACAATTTCACCATGACGACTTTTTAAATGATTTAACATAGTGGTTGTTGTACCGGAATTATTAAATGCTAGTAAACTATCACATAGAATACATTGTGTATGAGTTAAATCTTTAGTACCCAAATGTAACTCAGGATGAAAAAAATATTTCCATACAAATGATTTTTTTGTACCAGTACGACTGCCCCAATTCCCTGAACGTCTTGTTGAATTACGCCAAAAATTGAAAATTGGATTTGCTGTAGTATTACGTGGAAAATTTGTAACCGTTGTCATTTTAGTTACTGTGTTATTATTAATAGTATCATATTTACTATTACAGGTTTGATTAGGAATAGTAGGTGAACTAGATACAGTTGAAGAAATTATAGTACTAGGAACATATTCTTTAATATGATTTGAAACGATCACGTTTGTACTTGACTTGTCGAATTCTGTTTGCTCATTTTCTGTATATTGATTACTATCGTTTGTGTTATGAATATCAGTAGTTAAGTTAGTTGGTTGATAGTACTGTTTGAAATTCATATCCATGACAAAGAACACTTATAGTTGTTATATGATTATTTATTTATTACCTGGATGATTTTCATTACATCTTCAATTTCTGTTGGTTCGGTATTCGGAAGTCTTCGAAAGTTGTGTATTAGTGAAATTCTAACAGTGGTTACATATAACTATACAACAACCAAAATTTTGTTTGTTTTTATGAATAACGTAAGGAAGGGGGGCTTGGAAAAGAAATTGAATCTTTGTATGTTATTTGGTGTGCTATTTTTCTGCCTAACCTTTCAATGTCATTCTTTTCTACCCCTCTATTGGCTAGGATGAAATTCTGATTGGTTGAATTTATGTCGTTTATCAGTTTGACCAATGAACGTAGACTTAAAAAGAAATATCATTAATAAATTATTTCAAGCGTTTGTTCATTCACAATGAAAGAAGATTTTTGTGTCGCTACAACTCAATTATCTGTTTGCAAAGAAAAGTAAATAGCTTGACCACTTAAACATAAGGTTTAAGACTAATAAACTGAATTCATATTGTCTATCGATATTTAAAGGTTTTTGTTTTATCGAGAATATCCCAAGGTTACAAATCTTTGATATTTGAATTAGATCTTCAGCTAAAGTATTATGTAAAAAAAATGAGAATTTTCTGTTTAGAAGTATTCTTCGTGCGAATCATTAACGAGACGAAAACTAGACGAGACTAAATTCCAAATTCCAGCTGGAATTAACAGCATAATTCCAAGAGGATTAAATCTCTCATTTGATACTCATCCTAACACATTAGTTATCATTTTATAAATGAAAAGTAAGTTCGTAATACCAGAAAGCAAATTAAGAAAGTATTATTATTACGAATAATAAATACAGAAAAGACTCAACGATCTGGTAACTTCAAATTATCAAACACAACACAGTTTTCAGTAGTAAAAGATTATGTTGATTTAGAACAATATATTTTTCGATTTGATCCTCATCAGGCTTTACTCTAATATACAGTAATATTTATACAAGCATAACTTCTTTAAAAAGTATTTTATGCTAATACGAAATCTACGCAAAATACTTCGAATTATTTGGCCAAACACTATCAGCAACAACCCACTGTGGAAGAGAACAACACAGATTTCAGCAGAGCAAGAGATCAGGAAGAAACGCTGGAAGTGGATAGAACACACATTGAGGAAAGCACCCAACTGCGTCACGAGGCAAGCCCTCACTCGGAACCCTCAAGGTCAAGGGAGGAGAGGAATACCAAACAACACTTTACGTCAAGTGATAGAGACAGACATGAGAAAAATGAATGACAATTGGATAGAACTGGAAAGGAAGTCGCAGGACGGAGTGGGTTGGAGAATGCTTTTCTGCAGCCTATGCTCCACTGGGAGTAAAAGTCGTAAGTAAGTAAGTAACTAATAAGAAATCACTAGATACAAAACGCCACTATCCTTTTTGTTATAAGTGGAAAAACAGGTAATTCTATTTGGTTGTTATAAATAAAGCTTTGGTTTACTTGTCATTTCGTTATAGGAATACATTTACTTTTTAGGAAGTTTCAATGAACCCTAAACCACCATGGAAAACTTAGAAGCACTAGACGGCCATTTCGTTCCAGCATGGGACTCCTCAGCGGAGCTCATAAACGACCCCACCTCGCGAGCGCTTAACCTCTAGACCGCTGAGCCAGTCGGCATCCAACGATGTTAATGTCTAACTTCAACTAATTCACTAATTTGCACCACTGTTCACCAATGAGATTAGTGAGTTATCATTTCATAACAGACCCAGTTGAACTTCACCGGACACGGCTTTTCACTAGAACTCCAGGAAATAACCCTTGGAGACAGTTACTAGTAAGCATGTGATGTTTATAATCAAAGAGGGGTTTTGTGGATATTATAGTAATACAATAGTTGAATTCATGAGTCAATTGAAGCTAGACCATCATGGTAAACCTGGATACCAGTTCAATGGTCTAGTGATTAATCGCTCGCGCGCGAGATTGATAGGTCTTGTGTTCGAATCTCGTGAGGCGGGATCGTGGATGCGCACTACCGAGGAGTCCTATACTAGGACGAAGCGGCCGTCCAGTTCTTCCAGGTTCTCCCAGGTGGGCTCGCTTATGAATTCAACTATTAAATCCTTGTATGCTGAACAACTTAAAATCATTCTAAAAATTAATAGATCTTTGAGTGATCTTTTATATTTTTAATTTAGTTTCAAACAGTTGTTACATGTTTTTCAGAAATATTTGTTAATAAGAATAAATCTAATATCTTTTTCAGAGTAATTACCAGTAGGAAGATGTCATTCAACGTTAGGAAGTAGATTTACCTTGAAAATTCACACTTTATTTCTGTATTATTTAAATTATACTTGTTATCCATTTTAAAAATCTTAAATTGATAATTTGAAAAAAATCTTTTTCATGCTTACTATGTAATTGATTGAATACTCTCGACCTCAGGAAATGAAGATGTTTTAATCTTATCAATTAGGATAGAGTAAATAAAGGTAATCAAAATAAGAATAAGGGCCAAAATACAATCTCTTCAATGAAGAAGAAAAAAAAACAGTTCAGCCAACATAAAAACAATTTTAATTATTTTAAGTATTTCCTATGTAAATAAACAATATCTAAGCAAATTCGTTAGATTATTTATTTATTTATCACAGGTTTTATATGGGTACCAGGGCAAAAAGAACATATTATTTTCAGGTCATTGCTTATTTTCTATATTTCCTTTTTTCAATCGGATTCAAGTGAGTTACTTTGCAGAATAACTAAGAAACGATAGGTCAATAACAAAAAGTAATACTAAGGATAATCCTATATGATGAATGAATGTTTTTGTTAATAACTGTGTTATTTTGTATTGTTTCTATAGATTTTCATTAAAATTAATAGGTAAGTTGATTTTCAATAACCATCAGTACGTTTATTTCAATTCTTGATAGGTTAAAGTGATTAAATCCACAGATAGTTTAGAAAAACTCTTTGGCTATGGTATTACAGAAAATGACAATCTAGTCATATTCATCAGGAATTTAATAGTCTACTTCTTGATCACATATTTCCTCATAAAGATTGAAATCTCTTACTTAGTATTAGAAATATCCATAAACGTTTACTGGTAACAGTATTGGTGCGTTCATTAGTGACTAACTATGAGGTAAATTATGGGAGTTTTTGTTTGAAATCACATCATGTGAATTATAACTACATTGAGAATCAAATGGAAGTCCTTGTTGGAATAGAGTGAACGTCGTGTTGTAGAGTGAATTGACCAGAGTTGAAAACATGGATTACCGGATTTATAAATGTTCTGTGTTTATTTTATTTGAATGGCGGATACAACATAACTGAAGAGTATACAACAAAGATGAGATTCTCCCTCTCTTAATCCAATATTTCTCCAGCTTCTCATCAATCAGCAATGAAAATGAACTTTTCCAGAAGTGAATATGTCAGTTTAAGTTAATATTCTGTCTCACTCCATACTTCGTTAAAATTCACATGGATAATTTAGAAAGCTCATTTTCTTCTTAATCTACATTTATATTGCTTAAAACAACACAGCACCATATGGAGCTGAAACTTGGAGAACTGCCACAACCATTATCAAAAACGTATAAGTATTTCGAAACAATTCTCTACGCAAGATACTCAATGTCTGTTAACCTGAAACAATCAGCAACAGCCTACAGTGAGAGAGAACAAATCATCTCCCAGCTGAAGAAGAAATTAGGAAAAGATGTTGGAAGTCAATAGGACATATATTATGGAAATCACCAAACTGCATCACGAGGCAAGTGTTAATTTAGAATCTTGAAGGTACACGGAAAAGAGGAAGGCCGAAGAACATACTACGTTTGGAATTGGAAACAAACATAAAAAGAATGAATAGCAACTGAAAAGGATTATCCAGAACAGAGTTGGAAGGAGAATGCTGATGGACGACCTATGCTCCTCCACGAGGAGTAATAGGCGTAAGTAAAGTAAAGTAAAACAACACACAATAACTGTTACAAAGAGTAATTTTGTAGTTTCTGCTTTTACGAATGGTTTAATAAAGAATGCATTATTAAATACTGGTTAGTTGAAGTCAATGGCAGTAAACTGGTAGTCCAATAGTCGATGTATTTCACCAAATTACTACATTAAAGACATTTTTCAGTTTTATTTTAAATATTTGTTTCAAAAATTTGCGATGAAAAATGATTTTACTAATGTTCTACTCAGATTTACTACTTTGTTTCTTACATTTATATTTGTTAGATAGATCTTATTTAATAGAAATTTCAAGAATTTATAGGTGAATTTTAATACATTTTATTAAGTAATTGTACCTCATTATACTGTTAATTTTTCATGAATCCTGTTATTATATAATCACTTTAGTCCGTCTACTGTTAAATAGGTTCATAATTTTTAAAGCATACTCCATTGGGAGTAACAGGCGTAAGTAAGTAAATTAAGTTATGTGAAAATAATGTATCTAATTCGATGATTAAAACAGTAATCAATGACAGGTTTTTTCTATCATTAATTAAGATGTCAAATAAAGAGTTAAATAGTTTGTCATAATTATGTCACCATTACGTTACTGAGTTGATATCTAATGGCGTACATTTCCTTACTGGCGTACTTACGTCTGTCAACCTTCGTGGAGCATTAGCCGACGACCACTATTCTCTAATCAACCATGTCCTCCCCTCTCATTACTGCTATTCATTATATTGATATCTGTCTCCGGTTCCTGACGCAATGTGCTCGTTGGTCTGCCTCTATTATTTTTGCTTTAAGGATTTATAGTTACGACTTGCCTTCAAATTCTGTTTGAGGATTTTCTCAATGTGTGTCCGATCCACCTCCAACATCTTTGCTTGATTTACTGTTCGGCTGGGAGCTGGTTTGTTTTCTGACACAGTAGGTTGTTGCTGATAGTGCCCGGCCAACGGATGTACAGCGTCTCGCGTAGACAATTGTTCATAAATACCTGCACCTTTTCGATGATGGTTATGGCAGTTCTCCAAGTTTCAACTCCGTACAGTAGAACTGTCTTGACATTCGTATTAAAGATTCTGATTGTGATATTCTTTGACAGTTGTTCTGAGTT